AACAAGAGTATTTTTATTATATTTGTTCAAAAAATTCATTATATCAAGAGTTCGCTATATCAAGAGTTGACTGTATTTGAAACTATAACTCGTTGATTATCAGATGCTATATACCTGACACTTAATATAATACACCTATATATGTATATACTTAAACAAATGTTTGCTTCAAAAATTCAAGAAAATGAAACTTTAGAAAGTTATTTTAATCTTATTTATGGATCTTTTATACCTGAAAATACTAATAAAGAAGAATTAAAATTTGAATGATGAATTTAATTTTATTAGTGATAATGATGATAATATTCTAACTGTTGGAAATTGATAACATTGGCAATATACTTATCAACAATTTAAAGAATATATGAAAAATTGAGAATAAGAACGAAGACATAATCATAGTTTTTATTGTATATATAGTTGCATTCAAAGTCGTATTCATATTTTACAAAATTTATACAAAATAAACAATAAAATTGAAAATATATATCAAATGAATATCTTTCTCTGGTAGATATTAGAGATCTTCTTAAAAAAATTCACATTACTATTTATTTTTCTATAGATGATTTGTGAAATGTACCAAATGAATTATCCTTAATTGCAATAATATTAGATCTTAGAATAAAAAATTTTCCATTTACAGAAGATTCTGATTGTGAAAAACAAAAAAAGTTAGCTAAAGATCTTTTAGCATTTTCCAAAGAGATTCAAGAAATATTACCTATCTTGAATGAAAAAGATGATGATATATTTGCAAATATGTGAAATAGCAATCAATAATCAATATCAGTAAAAAATAATGAGATTTTGTATTACTTGAATTGTTCTAATAAACCAAAAACTACAAATCCTTTAATATGGTGATAGGATCATATAGCAAGTTATTCTATTTTATCCAAATTAGTTTGAAAGTATCTTTCAATTCCTGCTATATCTATACCTAGTGAACATCTTTTTTCTAATGCAGGTAATCATATTTCTTCAAAAAGAATACAATTGTCTCTAGAATTAGTAAATAGTATGTTATTTTTAAAACATAATAGTGCTTATTTTAATATTTTTCCTTCTTTAGAATCTAATTAGTTTAATATAATAATGGAATTTTTTAGCATTTATGTATATAAATAATTTATATAGTTTAATAAAATGGTTTAAATATAAATTCTCTTAATAATTATATATTTTAAAATACTTAA